GAAAGTTTTAATAATTAAATTAATTCATTAATTAATATTTTGATAAAAGCATTTAATGTTTTATTTTATTTTCATTTTTTAATGATTTTTTAAAATAATTTAATGTGATTAATTGTATTATTATTAACTTACTTAAATTTTTAAAGTTTTAATTAAACTTTTATTATTTTAATATTTAAGTAACATGCTAATTAAGTGGATTTATTATCTAATTAATTGATTATGAGTTAATTATATTAATTTAAGTTCCATCGAAGTTATTCCCATGATTATGAGTTAATTATATTAATTTAAGTTCCATCAAAGTTATTCCCGATTTAATTAAGAAAGTTATTTCTAATTAATTGATTATGAGTTAATTATATTAATTTAAGTTCCATCGAAGTTATTCCCAATTTAATTAAGTGATTTATGAATTAATTATGTTAATTAGGTATTTAATTTGAAAGTTCATACATTAATTAATTGATTATTAATCTTAATTAAGGTGTTTTAGTCTTGATTTAAGGGTAATTAGGAGGGTTTAGGCTGAGTTTAATATGATTAAGGGAAGATTAAACTCATTTTAATTTGATTAAGGTGTTGTAGGCTTGATTTGATGTAGTTAATGAATTTAAAATAAGTTCTAATGTTAATTAGTGTTCCTAGGTTCGGCCAAAAGGGAAACTCATGGTTTGGTTCTTAGTTTGCTTAGTTGTACCCTCCAATCATTCATTTCACATAGGATTAAGGTTAATCACTAGCTTTTTGATGAAAATGAAGTAAAATCCTTTTTTTTTTTTTGAAAATCTACATGGTTTTTTATCAGTTTCAATTTTAACTTTTTTTGTTTTGGCAAAGGAATAAAAGAATTTGCTAATTATATAACATTACACCATATCAACTTAGTATCATGAGATTAAAGCAAAAGAGCTATGATTCTATCATGGAAAATGTAACAATTATCACATAAAGCACATTGAAATGAAAAAAGCTAAAGTTAGACCATAAAACTTAAATGAATAACTCATGATATTAAGATAAAACAAGCACATTACAAAAGTCTTATGGGTTAAATAGGTAATTTGAGGAATTTTGAAAAAGGCATGATAAAATTTTAAAATTTACACATGAAACCAATGAATACATAAAGAGACTTTGAAGTTAATGGAAAATTTTAGTAAATAAAAATAAAACATGGAAGAAACATGGACAATTTAGAAAACACATAATGAAATTCAAAAGTTCTATGCTAACACATAAAATACATGGATAGATATGAACATTGGATGAAATAAATTCAAATAAGCAAGTTAGGAATTAGACCTTGGCTTTCTTTAGGATGTGGATAGGCTCTCAATTGTTGTGCATTGAACCGAAGGAAGAAAAATGGGGTTTCGGATTGCACTTGGTAGAAAAGAGGGAGTGGGGGGGATTTTATAAACTTAACTAACGTAAACATATTAGTAACGAGATTTGAGGATGAATTTTTGAAAATGAATCAAGCAATTGCAATAATATTTGAAAAATATCAAATCTCATAAGTGTAAACAAATGAAAAAATTTTAAAATACCCTCAATCTTTTTATTTAAATTTGGGACTGATATTGATAATTTTATTTTGTTTTATTTTTAAATGTAAAAATAATAAAAATAAGTTGAAAAAAATATTTAAGAAATAAATTTACATGAGAACGCTTACAATCATTTTATTATCAATAATATACTTATTTTATTAAATCTTATAACAAGAAAATTGGTTAATATTTTTTAAACCCAATATATTTAAAAATTATGAATTTATTTAAGTTATATACCACACATACATTTATTTAAAGTTTTATTTAATAATTATATTTTTTAAAATGTATAAAAAATGCATTTAATTCAGTAAAAAAGGGTGAGTTAAGAATCCAAGATAAATTATAACTACAAATGTAAAATAATTTAAATAAAATATGATTAAAAACTTATTTAAAATTAAATTATTTTTATACTATCTAAAAAAGATTACAAACTAATTAAGAAATCAAATAAATAAAAATAATTCCATTTAAAATTCATGTCAAATTCGTTAAGATATTTGATTAAAGCTCGATAATAAAATAAGACCTATTATAAATTAAAACCAAAAAAATGTAATATAATTTAAATAAAATAATTTGAAAAAATTAGTTTAAAATTAAAATAGTTTTATATTATAAATAAAAAATAATTGAATTTGCTCAAATTTCGCAAAGAAAAAGTGGCATTTTTATTTAATGCAAATAGACTTTAGAATAAACCAAAATGCTTCACAAAATGTCAAGCATTTTGCTCCATGTCCCCTTTCTTAGTTTGGTGGCCGCCGCCTTTTTCTTGGATTATTTTTTTGAGAAGGCTATGATCAGTCACATGACTTTATGACTTCTCCTAGATGGCTTCTATTCTAATATGCTTTTCTAAATATGCGAGTTTGGTCTAATGTGCTATTGGCAACCAAGATCCTTTGTTATTTGGGTGTACTACCTTCTTCGGATGGCTGATTATTCATCTATTTATGTTTACTTTGAGCCTAGTGCATTTTGTAAGGGATATTTATATGCATACCATACAATTATATTGTATTTATATATCTAATGTTTAAACTTTATTGAATCTTTTGCTATGCATGTCAAATTAAGTTCTTTGATATGTTCTTTCCTACTCTCTGAGAATTCTGATTTTTTTTTTAAAAAAAATTAAGAGCTACAACCATGTTAAAATTAAAAGGAAGTTACATAAAAAATTATAAGAGTTGCCCATTTTTTTACATACCCACAGTAAAATGGACAAAGAAAATAATGGGTGGAAAATTTTTAACTGGTAACAAGGCACTAACAACCACTGCAACATTTCAATTTCTATTACCTTTGAAACATTAGGTATCATTTTATGTCCAAGTTCACATCTCTGACTCTGTTTGATTACCTTATCCTCATTTTTTTCTTAGATTGTGTTGTGGTTTAAGATTTTAAAGTACCTTCTCAACTAGAAGGATGAGTTATCTTGTAGAATCCACTATAATGCCATAATTGGAATGAAAACCTACTCGTCAATATCTTTTAGATTTCATCATTTCCAAAGAGGTTATATATGGATGCATTAACAACATTGATAGATCCTTTAATAAGTCTTCACTAGATACGAGTCTGTAGTTCACTATGGTCTCAATATCATGTTATTTTTTGAGATAGATGAAATTTTTGAAATTTAGAATTGAAATGATGCAACAATTGTTATTTTATTATAGACAATTAATATTTCCATTCAATGTTATTTGTCCACAATTTCTTGAGCTTAAGAGGTAAAGAGAGTGATTCCTACAAATTTTTACAGTCTTTCGAGGAAGAGATCAGTTAAGCACCTAATTATTTTTATATCCATTATTTGTTCTCTTATTTTATATAAGTCTTTTGGTATATATGGATTGTTGGATGTTTGATCCGCCCACAACGTGCCTATGTCATAATGATATAAGTCTTAGTATGCTCATCAGAGGCTTGATCCACTCCTTGGTAGACTCATTAAGTCCTTAAATTTAAATATTCTTACACACTGGGGTTTCATACGCAAGTATACGTATCATTTCAGTAATACAAGTTTCTAATTGAGTTCAGATATCGATCTCACAAGGATGGTTTTAATGGTTATAATCGGATGAGTTCTAGTCTACTACGGTAAGGGACATAGTTTGGAATGTAATTTAAAGCGGTCTTTCTAACAATTACTCCTAAATTACTATAGCCCTGATTCTTGATTGGAAGCGACACCAAAGGCCTCTGTCATTCTATCTGATAGAGAGGGAGGGCAGAGGCCTTTGGGTTTCTCATGTTATCAAATAGTTGAACAATGAAAATATATGACAAGTGTCTGATTGAATTGATTAGGTCGTAGGAACAAGGTTTAAATCTCTCGGTATAGCCCTTTTTTTCCCTTAGACATCTTCTCTCCCTCTGATTTCACTTTGTCCTCGGAGGAGGGCTACGGTGCACAAAATCTAAAGGCTGCCCCGAACCTTTCCATTTGGGGACCTCATCTAAATGTTTCAAAATGTTGATGGAGACATTTGAAAACTAATCAACTCAGACTAAAAGACGCAAGGTAAATATGGATTAACAAAAGAGTCAATCAAGCCTATTTGTAAGAATCATGGGCATCAAACTCTAGGAAGTTCAATTATTAAAGCACTGATTACAATATAAATGATATCTATTTCTGAGTATAATTCTTTTTCTTATCACAACTATCGCTTTCAGGAAATAAGAAAATCGGTAAAGGAATATTTGTACTTTCTGAGTGCATCGACATGAATCTCAAGGAGACCTAAAAGTCTAGAAGATCGAAAAGTACAACTAAAGAGGGCAATAGCATAATTCTTGAATATCTAGAAGGCCCCCCTCATTAAGGAAAGAGCTATCTTATTGTTCTGCCGGAAGAAACTCCTCATCCAGTAATCAATTGTTGAAAACATTATGATCAAGCCAATTATTCTGAACCATAGACCACCAAAGCTGAACAATAACCCCGATTTAGGACAATCAGATGACAAGGTCTTAACTTAACAAAGTCAAAGGTAGCCAAGCCATAAACCTATACATGTAAAATGCCTAAAATATCGTGTAACTCCCCCAATAAAGCAACAATAAGGACGTAACTTCACATATTATATCCCCTCCTCTATAAATAGGGGAATCGTTTTATTAGAAATAGTTAATTAACAAAACTCGTTACTTTTTATTATTGTCCATCTCCCTCCCTCCCTCCCGCTTTACATTTTATTTCTTAAGTGTGATTCACAGTTATGCCAGGAATTAACAACAATGCATAATTCACTAAACCAGAATAACTTTCATCCATTCTAACAAAAAAAAAAAAGTGCAAAATATTATATTTATTCCCTTAAATTATCCGCCCAAATAAAAAATATATACTTCAACTCAAACAAGAAAAAATAAAAGTTAAGAAAACCCCTACAAAATGAATAAGTTTTCCATCCCGTTCAAACCGTTACCATTCCAATTTTTGCCGGAACAATTCTCTCCTCGTAACGTCCATCACGAAAAAACACATCCAATCTCCTTCTCCCCTTCCACCCTTCCCACCAACCCAAAAAATGTAAAATAAATAAAACTACCCTACTTCCGCCATGGACCTCTTCTTCGAGGCCGGCGATGGCCGGTGCTTCAAAGAAGAAATCTGGTTCTTCTCAACCGTTCTCGAAATAAAACAAAAGCTACATAAACGATACGGCTTCCCAATCTCCCACCAAACTCTCCTCTTCAACGGCAAAATCATGGAAGACAAACGCGACATTGAATACTACAACATCATTCAAGGCTCTCGCATTCTCCTCCGTCTCCCGCCTGAGCCCAAGCCGGCGGCCAAAGCCGATCAGCCCGAAACGTCCACGAGCGGCGGCGGGAGAAGGACGACGGTGACGGTACTCGTGCCGACGGAAACGTTTGGGACAATGAGGGTGGCGATGGAGGTGAACTTGGCGGACAATGTGAGCGAGCTAAAGAAGGAATTGTGGAGAATGAGACACCAGATTTATGGCTTTTGTTTGCCGGTGGAAGGATTCTTCTTCATTTTTAAGCAAAATGTGATGGAGGAAGACAGAAGTTTCAGGTGGCATGGCGTGAAGACAGATGATGTTATTGAGATTTTTAATGGAAGTGTTGCGGATTCATAGTAGGTTGTTAGTTTTAAAAATTAGCAGAATGGATCTTAGCATTCTTAGTTATAATAAATTAAGTCATTTTTATCGCGTAATGTGTTATCTATTCAGTGATGTATAGGAAAGCATGTGGTCCAGATGCATGAATGCAAGCTGCTTCTTTACTGGCTGGTAAGATTATTGTACTATAATTAATGGGGGTATGGATCGATTTGGCTACGTTTTGTTAATTCATTTGAATTATCTTTTTGGTAGTTTTGATCAAGGTTGTGATTTGTTTGGTTGTTTTTGTAAGATTAAGTTTGATGTAGATTTTGCGACAGGAAATATGGGAGTGATTTGATGTAGATATATGTTATGTACATCGCATGGTTGTCTAGATAAGATGTTATCCAAAGTTATATTGTGTGTCAAGTGCAGTTTGTTTGGTTTATTCAAATTTTTATCTGGAAAACCTAAAATTATTAAGGAAGATGAAAAACTATCAAGTTGTTTTTTTCAAGTGCATTTTATTTAAATTTTTCAATATTAAATAGCTTAATTAATATGTTGATGTTTAAAGTATAATATAAAGACCATCCATCAAATTATTTCTTGAACATATTATTGAATCCAATAACTAAAAATGTTTAATTAGTGGCAAAACTCTTAAGAAGGGAAGAGAGTCAAAGCTTATCTTTTAAGTTGAGAGGGAAAATGTATAACTACGAAGTAATGAATCATAACATAAAAAACAGGGTTCATAGAAGTCAACTGAAAATTTTTGTAAAAATTTTACAATAGAATCAGCATAGAAATTTAATTCATTCAGAGAAAAACAATTTTAAACTATTACAATTGTTAGATTTTGTTATGAAGATCTTTCAATTGTAAATTTGTAATACAAATGATAAGAAAGTTACACTCATACAAAAATATAAGAGTGATTTCTAAAATAAAATCATGAAAAGAAAATCCAAATCATACTTAAAAGAAAAAAAATATTTTGTACTATACATGGAAATTAATCTTAATAACAATTTTACGTAGGTGCAAGATGTGCGAAAACATGTATATTACTTTCTATTGTCGAAGTAGAAAATTTTCTTAATTTCTTATATATTTCTTCGCTTATAATTAAATTGATTGAGATATTGCCAACTTTAATCTAATAACATCACAATTTATCTTTGTGTGACATCATAGAGAATTCTCATCTTATGAGTGCTTCCATATGAGCACACTTAATTTTGCAGTTGTTAATAAAATTCTACTCATTATGTCAAAAATACTTCAATGTTTAAGAGTTCACTTTTATTTGATTTGGGAGATCTAATCTAGCCAATTAAATAACAACACCCTCATGAACATCCTTATATCTAGCATAGAATTATCCACCAAGTAGGTATATCAAATTCTTGAGATGACCGCTATAGGTTCCAATGATCGCTCCCATCTTATATCTGAACCTCTCTGTTTAAAGGTGATTGAACAGACTGTCCTGAAGTCTGAAAGAGTTGACCGTACTTACATAGGAAAGAAATGGGTGAAGTATGTCAATGGAAGAAGAGTAATCTGGTCCATAAGGGAAATGGACACATTACTGATGTATGAAGATAGGATTCACTGATTTAAATGGAGAGAGAAACTAGTCCCAAGCAGAGTTGCTAAAAGCTGTCGGTCGCCAAATTAGAAGTTGTTGAATGGATATTCTGATACTCAGTTTAATTTAATTTATATATATATAATTTGGGAAAAGTTGTATTTTAGATTTTGAAAATATAAGACCAGATCGATCTCATATCCTTAGTAGTTTAAATAAATGAGTCTAATACCGTAAGCAATGCATCTATCCCAAAGGGTAGACACACTACTTACTGGTAAGACTCGATTAAATAAACTAAAGAATTTATGACATCTGTTTAAGTCTGCGAAAAATTATTTGTTTTATGTTGACCGATAAGTTCTCCTATTTAATACAAAAAAATTAAATAAGGTCTATATTAAGCTGGGTTCCTAAAAGTTTCCTATAAGGGCAAGCTTTATAATTAATTACATCTTAGATAACTGAAGTCACCTAAGAAAACTCTCGAGAAAATTCAAGGGATATTGTCTTCAAGAATTTCAAAGGATAGGGTTTTTCAAAAGATTGGACAAAGAAGTGTGAAATGGGAATTACTCAAATTTGAAACAATTTATTTTGGAATCTAAAGGAAGAAGAGCAAGGGGATGTCATGGATCCTGAGGAGAACCTCAGTGACTTCCCAAACTTTCCTATGATTTGACTCTAATTTTGAAGAGAATTATTGAATATTTCATTCTGTCAATTTTTATTAATTAGGGCTTACATTCCTGCGAGATGATTTGCACAAAAAACTTAGAAGATATGAGGATTTAGGTCGTGACAAACGATAACTTTAGAATCCTAGGTTGAGTTAGGCTTAAATTGCAAACATAATTGTGCAAAGGCCTAAAGAAAGAGTTGAGGATTCATGTCGCACTAGGCAAAAAACCTCGAAATCCTACGGCTTATTGTTTAATTCTAAGGAAAGATGCGTTGTTGCAGGTCCACTTGCTGTTGTAGATCGCTGTTGTAGAAGGCTGCCCACAAAGTTAGCTCCAGACTCCTCGGTAAAGTAACAATTCTAAAGTCTAAGGTTCAAAAGTTTAAATGATAAGTTTAAATTCAATTATTATGGGGGGGAGTTAAAGTTGATTAGAGCAACACCAGTTATGAGCCAATGGTTCCCTCATTTCGGCACCACTATTTTCTTCAGATTCACTTAGTTCAAATGAATTTACCCAACTCAACTCAATGAGTTCTATACTTTCATTTAGATTGTGGGAAATCTCATTATCAACCGTAGGTTACCTCCTCCGAGGGATTCTCAATCATCTGCTAGGGACGTTTTAAATTAGTTGCAATTTTTATATTTTTGTTATGTTGGTGATTAAATTTTGAGTTGTCTTATATTTTGACTATTGTGGTGGTGGATTTTATCTTATTTTGATTTATAAATTTAGTTTTGGTTTCATTTTTATGATTGAGAGTGATTGTTGTTTCAGTTTTGACATGCAGAGTGACCTTGTTGTTTAACATGCATGTTTATAAGAAGAAAGGAAAATAAAAGCAAATTAAAGAAATGAAAATAAAAGCAAATTATAATGCAATAACTTAAAAGCACACCTGCAATTCTTCTCGTTCCTCCACCTGAAATATCAATACTTGCAATGTATATATATTCATATATATATATATATATGCATGAACTAAAACATGGTTGTAGAGAGTACAAGTTTGAAGTGAGTCTATCAGACCCTATGTCATACCTTGGTGGGTGCAATTTGTCCATCTGTGAGAATGATTCCATCAAGCAAATCATAATATTTCCAAGTGTACTCCGAGATTGCCAAAGGATCATGAAAAGGTCCTGGGTAATACCCTATACATTTCACAGTCCCTCAAATCGTATCGAGTTCATTTTGGTCTTATTATGTTGCTATGTGGTTCACCAAATTCATACCCTTATGCTCAACGAACCTTGATGTTTTGATTATCCTTTTAAGTGGGGTAGCTATCATTTGATATTTCACTTGCGAAATCTATGGGTAAAGGCCCTTAGGGGCAATTTGGCTTAATTAAGAAACTTAGTCGGTTTAATCTTTAAAGATAGGCTTGTAGTATTTTTAAAAAAATGATTGGAATTAATTATAGGACATTTTCTAAACCTCATTAGATAAGATTTTGATTAAACCTAATTCACTATTAAGCCCTTAAAACTTAATGGGTATATTTGTAATTTTAGAAAATTTTAATTATGTATGCTTTTAATCCTTATCAGAAATCATAAATTATTCCGAAGCGATTTTCCTTAACTATTACTATAAATTAGTGGGTTATGATCTTCCAAATTCA